GTGAACTAAGTCAGAAGAAGCTAATGAAAGATACTTGTTCTGGAATTGAGTTCTTCTCAGATCCTATTTTCCCAAGTCCCTCTGTTTATTTTGTTATCCTACATTAATCCAGACTGGTTTCCTTCATAGCATCCTAACTGCAGAGGATTAGAAGATTTTATTTCCTACTTGGGCATCAAAAAAAAAAAAAACTTAGAGAAATATAATCATTTATCTACACGTTTATTCATATATGGGGAAATGGGCACTACGTTATGATCAATGGACAGAGGCAAAAATAGGATTTCTAAAAGAGAGCAGATAAAATTCTCCAGCAGTCTGGGAAAAGGGAGTATTATTTTCTTTATTTTGGGGTAAGGTGATTAAGTATCACCTTACACAGAAGCCTGTCTGAAGGGACTTCCTTGCGCAAGCTGTCTGGTGTCATTAAAGAAACAGCAAATTCAGTTTATTAATTATTCACAAACCCTTGGGAGTCCATCTGCAAGAAGAAAGATGGGCTGTCTCTGTGTAATTTCCACCATGGTTCCTCTTTAGCAATCCCATCTAATCCAGGCCAGGTTTACCCCATCTCCTTCATAAGAATCTTTCAAAAGGCAAAATCTTCCTCCATGACTACCTTTTTTATTTACTTATTTATTTATTTATTTTTTTGAGGAAGATTAGCCCTGAGCTAAGATGCAGTGCCATCCCTCCCCTTTTTTCTGAGGGAGATTGGCCTTGAGCTAAAATCTGTGCCCATCTTCCTCTGCGTTATATCTGGGATGCCTGCCACAGTATGGCTTGATAAGCGGTGCGTAAGTCCGCACCAGTACCAGAACCCGGGATCCCCATTTGGCTGAAGCAGAGCACAGGAACTTAACTGCTAAGCCACGATGCCATCCTTCACCTTTTTTTTTTTCCATTGCAAAATCCCAAATCAGCTAGGGCTGGGGTTGGTTGTGTGTGTGTGTGTGTGTGTGTTTTGTCCCTCTAGGAAACAAAACAAAAATAGTGTACTAGGCACTGGTGAAATACTTCATAATTTGAACACATCTCAGGATTCTTGCATCATGGTAAAGACAAAATCTTGGTTACTGCCACATAGGCCACACGGGGGCTCTGTGGAACTACCAAGCTCAGAAAGGTTCTGGGGCAGAGCCAGCTGTGTGGGACCAGAAGGGTTAAGGAAAAGCCCTGTTTGCTTCTTTGATCCCCTAGAATGCTTACTAGTAGAGACAGTAATTTGCAGGTGTCCTGTCCCAGCCTGGAGCCATGAACTTCAGCTGTGCAGTGGTGAGGGAGTCTGAGCTTGCAAGGGAAAGTGAAGGGTGTGGAGCTGAGAGAAGGCAACCCGCAAACCCGGGGCAGGGGCAGGCACTGGTAGAAGAACACCTGCTTCAAAGGAAAAGCAAAGGAGCTGTGGGGATGGGCACGCTGCCTAAACCCAGCCTAGCCTAGACCAGGCTAGTCCAGCCCCACTTGTCACGGAAGAAGCTTTGCAGGATAAAGCACAGGTTTCTGGATCAGCTGAGCCGGGACCTGGCAGGGGAGGCCAGGCTCATGGGAACCAGCAGAAATAATGACATCAGAGCTGTGACATCACTGCTTAACCTCCAATCAGAGAAAGGATGCCCAGAAGTACATCTCTTAGGGGACCAGAACTCTCAGCCGGGAGACCTGCCCAGATGTGCCCCACTGTGACATGAGCTCCAGGCTCCTGTGCTGTGTGGCCCTTTGTCTCCTGGGAGTAGGTAAGTCCTTGGGACAGTTGGGACATCTCCATTCTAAGCCAGAGAACACATGAATCCAAGGCACCATCAGACTCCCTCTTGTGTTCTTTCTCCAGCCCCTGTCTTTTTCCCTCACAGGCCCAGTGGATTCTGGAGTCATCCAAACACCAAGACACCTGATTAAAGCAAAAAGGACAGCAAGTGACAATGATATGTTCCCCTATCTCTGGGCACAAAAGTGTATCTTGGTACCAACAGCCGCTGGGCCAGGGCCCCCAGTTCCTCATTCAGTATTACAATAGGAGAGAGAATGAAAACGGAGACATCTCGGATAGATTCTCAGGGGAGCAGTTCAGTGACTATAGTTCTGAGCTGAACGTGAGCATCCTGGAGCTGAAGGACTCGGCCCTGTATCTCTGTGCCAGCAGCGTAGCACAGCCCTGCAGAGTCACCAGTGTTCTGTGCACAAACCTCCCTGCCCCAGCGTGGAGCAACCTCAGAGCTGACAGATCTGTGAAGACCTCGGGGCTGCAGTGGGAGAGAAAAACAAGTTAGGACCCTGGAAAGTGCAGCCTTGGGCTCTTCTGCCACTCAGGGATGTGGGACAGCAGAGGACAAGCAGGTCTGTTCAGAGGATGGTGCTACCTCAGTAGGTTCACTGAATAATCACCTTCCTTGCCTGGCGCTCTATGCTACAAAGTATGGGGAGGGTTTATAATTTACCGCTGACACCCTCTTTTTACAGGAGGGAGAGTTCATGTAGGGATGAAAATTGTTCCATAAATGTGTAGTCCAGAAGATAGAAGCACATGGATTTGCTTTATATAATTTAAGGAGAAGAAACTGAGATTTTGGGAAAGTCTAGGAGAGAAAATAGAATCTAAAATGGTTGTAATAGAGATAGGGCTACAAGATGATAGAAAAATTGTGTTGTTTGTAACCTGATCTCTTTTCTCCCCTGCCTCCCAAAGTCTTCAATACCCAGAAAACATAATGCAGTGCCTTACAGCACCTGGCATCACCCAGCGGCCGCTCCCAGGTGAGGACATTGCCACGCAGATGACATGATGATGGTGTGAGAACCCTGGAGTTGATTCTAACGCCTTCTTTCTTGACTTCTCGTCCCAATCTTGCCTCCTCGGGCACAGTCAAGTACCTCCCAAAACACAGATGGGGGCATGCCTTTCCTGATTATACACAGGCAGAGGCTCTCCAACTTCCCCAAGATGAATTCTGCCTCCTTGGAATAGATTTACAACATTTCACCTCCAGAGTCAGTTACCTTCAGAGCATCGCTTCTCGGCAGTCTCAGGATGCATCTTACTCTGTGACCTAACAGCTCTGTACCACATTTCTTGTAACACCGGTGCCTTTTAAATCCTATACATTTGCTCTTGCTGTTCCCATGACCTAGAAGCCTCTTCCTTTCACCCCAAACACTGCCAGACACTATTCATCTTTCAAGGACTGGCTCAGCCGTGCCTCCCTCTTTGCTTCTCACCCTGACATTCCACAGTGCTATCCTGTTGATTAGTCTGCTCAGGCTGCTGTAACAAAACACTGCAGTTGCGTGGTTTAAACAACAGACATTTATTTTCTCACATTTTGGAGGGTAGCAGTCCGAGATCAAGAGGCTAGGATTGGTTTCTGGTGAAAACTCTATTCCTGGTTTGTGGATAATCTCCTTCTGGCTGTGTCCTCCCACGGTCTCTGTGCTCAGGTGGAGAGAATGAGGCTCTTTGTGTTGCTTCCTCTTCTTCTAAGGACACCAGACATGTAGGATTAGTGTCCCAACCCTAGGACTTCATTTAACCTTAACTACCTCCCCAAAGGCCCTGTCTTCACATACAGTCAACTGGGGGTTAGGACTTCAATATAGAAATTTGGGGGACGCAATTGCATCCATAACTATATTGATCCCTTTCTTTTACTTTCATAGGAAAATCGAATATATAATTGATAATCTTTGACACTTGTGAAATGAATAAATTAATGCCCACTGATACAGAGCCATGGAGTGCTGTTATTCACTAGTTTCCCTTCACAATAATCTCCTCTTACCTGTAACATAATGGACAATCATTGCAGATAGTCTTGGCTTTCCATACAACTTCTTCAATGTCCTGAGCAATCATAATCTCTTAGCCAGGACTGATGGCCAGTCCTATGAAGGATGCTAAGTGTATCTAAAGCTGGATTATGCTGACGTTCTTTTGAAGAGAGAAAATTATGTTACAGTAATCTTCATCCAGCCCCATGGTCCTGTAAAGAATTTTCCATCACCAGCCACCACCATGTCTTTAGAGACATCTCTTGCCATCATCACGGGTGTTAAGCACAAATGAATCTGAAAACCTGATCAAGAAAATTTGCTTTGCTCAGTAATAAAGCCTTGATGTTCTTTTTTTTTTTTTTTTAAGCTTTTACTTTTTTTCCTTTTTCTCCCCAAAGCCCCCCGGTACATAGTTGTATGTTCTTTGTTTGGGTCCTTCTAGTTGTGGCATGTGGGACGCTGCCTCAGGGTGGTTTGATGAGCAGTGCCATGTCCACGCCCAGGATTCGAACCAACGAAACACTGGGCCGCCTGCAGCGGAGAGCGCGAACTTAACCACTCGGCCACGGGACCAGCCCCAAGCGTTGACATCCTTGACAATTAACAGATAATTTTGTGTATGTGTGTGTGTGTGTTTATGAATGCATGTCTGTTTTCTTGTGAAGATACACAGAATAGAAATAGTTTCTCTCTGGGTGGACTTTATTAAGAGTCGTTGGGTCACTGAGCAGAACTCACAAGTCCTTCAGGGGAGTGATAGTAAGTGTCAGACCCAACTGGATTGACCTTAACTACAGCTGACAGGGTTATTTTTTTCAAGATATTTTAATTTTACAAATTAATTTGTAAATGATATAAACTCTCTTTATAAAATGCACTATCTAAACTTCGGTAATAATTTAAATACACAATGTGGAAACACATGGATCTGCTTAACCGGGAGACATCCTGGAATACAGTGATTCCAGGCTGTATCAACCTGAGATCATCAGACTGTTTATTTTTGTGGCCTGCGTTATTTTGTTTTTTTCCTCCCATTTAGCATACTAATTGCAATGGGGCAGCAATTATTTCCTTCTCCATGGAAACGTTGGTTCAGACACACTTTTCCTCTGCAGGCTGAGTGTGGATTTGAAGATCAACCCTAAAGCAGCCAGCCTGGGAGAGCAGTAGAATGGGGGTGGGGTGGGGGATGGGAGGAATGCAGGGGTGGTTGTTGGGTGGAATTTCTGTTCTTGACTTAGACAGCAGGTGGGAATCCACGAGACTGTGGACCTTCAGCCACGAGGAGGCACTGTGGACTCACAGTCTTTACTGCAAGGCACCCTGGGAGGGTTGAGAGACTGGCCCAGGAGGGTACAGTTAAGGGAATTCTTTGTCATGCCTGCATCCGGCAGGGGCATTGAGTTCATTGGGTCCATTGGTCCTGGGACACGTGGAGCTAACAGGCTCCTCACCGCCCATGGAAGTAGAGACCCGTTTGAACCTCAGTGGGCACCAAGGGGGCCATCTCCTGGAGCCTGAACAGGAAGTGGAGGCCAAAGGGGTTGGGGCAGCAAGGACTGGGAAACTGGTGTCAGGCAGGGGCAGGCAGAGGGAAATCAGGCATGTCGTGGGCTATGGGGATGGAGCTCAATTCACACCCACCCTTTGTTGAGGACCTGTGCAGGACAAGAATGGTGCCTAGAGTAGCTCACCCTGGGTACTGCCGAGAGGGACACTGGGCCTGGGTGTCTGCAGAGAGAATAACAGCAGAGCAGTGACGTCAGAGCAGTGACTTCATAGACAAATGCTCCTATCAGGGAAATGGGAAATTTACAACTGTAAGCCACTCACCCTAAGAGACCCCGCCCTTGAGTTGGAGGTATCTTGGGTGCTTGATGCTGCCATGGGCTCCAGGCTCCTCTGCTGTGTGGCTCTTTGTCTCCTGGGAGCAGGTGAGTCCTGGGCACAGGGGGACAGCCTCTGCTGTGCATTTGCCATGCCTGAAATAGGAGCCCGCCCATGATGGCTGCAGCAGGAGGCTGTCCCTGTGCTCTGCCCTCAGCTTCTTTCTGTCTCCTCCCAACAGGCCCAGTGGATTCTGGAGTCACCCAAACCCCAAAACACCTGATAAAAGCAAAAGGACAGCAAATGACACTGAGATGTTCCCCTATATCTACACATCTCTCTGTGTACTGGTACCAACAGGCCCTGGGCCAGGGACCCCAGTTCCTCATTCAGTATTACGATGGAGAAGAGAGAGAAAAAGGAAACATCTCGGGTCGATTCTCAGGTCAACAGTTTCGTGATCGAAGCTCTGAGCTGAATGTGAGCATCCTGGAGCTGACTGACTCTGCTTTGTATCTCTGTGCCAGCAGCTTGGCACAGCCCTACATGATCAGCAGCCTACAGCACAAAAACTTTCCTGCCCCAGCTCAGGAAGTGAACATGAGGGTGGTAGCTGCCAGGGAGACAGGCTCAGGGCCTCAGTTATCAGACAGGCCTTCCCCTGACACTTTTCCTGCTTCTTGTATGTGTGCTGTGTTTTACGCTCACAGAAATCACACAACAGAAGTATTACTTTATCGTTCATGTGTGTGGTGGGAAGTTAGTTTCCCGGGTCTCATATTTCATAACTGGCAGGACAAGGAATCAAACTCAAGTCTATGCCTCAACACCTGTGGTCCCCCACCCCCAGAACTGTCCCCTTATGTGGTTTCCCTTTTCTAGGGCCAGATTAGCAGGACTGGGAAGGTCATGCATCATATGTGGTTATTATGACCACTTTCATGCCAACTTCAGGAACATATGACTTCAAGACAAAGCATATCCATTGATCCTTCATTGTGAGAAAAAAGGCAGACACCATTTCTGCACTGTCGCAGCTGCATGGACCTCGGTGATGTATCTTTCACGGGGGCTGTGTGAGTAGGGAGGTTTCCAGATCTGCCTTCCCAGCTGCACAGCAGAGGGAATGGGATATTTGCAAGGAACAGTGTGTCTTCCTGTACGTGATACAATTACCATGAGGGGAAGGAACACAGAATAATCCTTATTTCTTCCCTAGCTTCTTTTATTCATTAAACATTTTTTTGTCTCTTACTTTGTTCAAGGTATTGTATCACATAAAATAGAAAATGAGAATATGTCTCTTTCCTTTGACAGTTTTAAGTTCTGCGATATTAAATGTATAATATTTACCTTAAAGATTTGACTGTTTCCGTGGAAACCACCTATTACATGAGGGCAGGTCCATTACAGAAGTGAGAGCCCTGAGTACATTAATGCCCAAACGCAGTTCAGTTCTGTTCCCTGCAGAAGACTTGGAAAAAACTCATGCTATCATTTATTGAGAACTTACTATATGCCAAGTAAAAGTCCTTCATTTGTAAAATTTCAGTTAATAGAGAAAAAACCTAAGAGGCAAATACAATTACTATTCTCATTTTAAAGATGAAGGAATCTGCCATTGAGTGAAATAACTTGACCAAGTCAAATAGCTCCGAGGATGATGCAGAAGTAGGACTCAAACCCTGCTGTGTCTCCCTCTTAAGCCCCACGTTAATAACTCTGCCCTAGAATGCATTTTCACAAAGAAAGACACCGTCCTTCAAAATCAGGATGCTGTCCCCTGTGTCCTTTCAGACACACTGGCTCTAATGAAATCATTGACAGGGATCAGTTTACCCAGGAGAGAGTGTGCAGAGAAAGAGCCCTGACCAGGCGCCATGGACACCTGGCTCTGATGCCAATTCCAGCACCTGCTGCCAGTCAAGACCCAAGGCCAGTTTCTCAACATGTGAGGCTGAGATTTTTCATGTGTAAAATGAGAGTAGTAATATCTCTTTCTATTACTCAGCGTCCTCCACAGAAACACAAAAGAAAATATATATGTATATATGTGTATGCGTGTGTATTCTATTTATTTTAAGGAATTAGCTCACACAATGGTGATGGCTGATAAGTCCAAAATATGCAAGCTGGGCTGGTGGTGCTGGAGACCCAGGAGAGCCCATGTTTAAGTCTGAAGGCTGCTAGGCAGGAAGAGCTGATGTTGCAGCTGAAGGCCACCAGCTGGACAAGTCTCTCACCTGGGGAAGGATCGGTCTTTCCTTTCTATTCATGTCTTCAGCTGACTGGATAAGGCCCACCTACATTAAAGAAGGCAAAATGCTTTAATTCTACTGATTAAAATGTTAATCTAGTATTAAAATCTATGTACTGAAATGTTAATCTCATCCAAAAACACCCTCTCAAGGACACCCAGAATGATGTTTAACTAAATATCTGTGCACCCCATGACCCAGTGCAGCTGACACGTTAAATTAGCCATCGTACCACCTTCCAGGGTTGTATAAAAATTTACTAAGCACAAAGTATCTAGCACATAATAGGGATCTGGATATCTTGATTCCATTTGCTCTTCTGTGAAAACCCCTTCCATCATTTATTCTGTGCAAAGGTAGATATGGACTCATTTTGCACAAAACCCTATTTTTGAAGACTTCAGATGTCACAGAAATGGAAATATTTATGCCTGATGATTCACTACATGAAATTAACTAGAGCTCATAACATAAATCCCGCCTTAGGCATTTGTAAATTTCATTGACATATGAATTGTATACAATAAACAGTATACACTTTAAACGAACAGATACTTTTTGAACAATATATTTGTATATCCCCATATAACAGCAACCCCATGAAGATACAGAACATTTCCGTCACCCAGAAATTTCCCTCAGGCTCCTTTGCAATGGTCTCTCCATCTCTGACAACCGATGATATGATTTCTATCACTATCGATTAGTTTTGCTCAGGCATTTTTTAGTGGCAATTTAAAATCTCCACCTGGGCCGGCCCAGTGTCACAGCGGTTAAGTTTGCACGTTCCACTTCAGCAGCCCTGGGTTCACTGGTTCAGATCCTGGGTGCTGACGTGGCACTGCTTGGCAAGCCATGCTGTGGTAGGCGTCCCACATAAAAAGTAGAGGAAGATGGGCACAGATGTTAGCTCAGGGCCTCTCTTCCCCAGAAAAAAGAGGAGGATTGGCAGCAGATGTTAGCTCAGGGCTAATCTTCCTCAAAAACAAAAACAAAAACAAAAAGCAAATAAAATCTCCACCTATTATAATAACTATTTAAGAGAGTTAGGTGCTCCTGGAAAGTGTTATGGATTAACAAGTCCTTGAAACCATGCAAGATCCCTGATCCACGTTAATGAGAATTCTATTTGGAGGTAGATGGTTTGATAAAATGATCACCAAAAGGTCTTTCTGGGTGGTTAAAGCTGCTTTTATAAAATTTACTTTCTTATTTTCACTCGTTTCTTTTCTCACGTACCCATTCTTTCAAATTATTTTATAATGATATTTTGAGAAAAATTCATCATCTGCAAGGAAATTATTCTGAGTTCCCATCAGACACACGTCGAGCCAGGCTTCATGTGCACACACTGCATGCTGGGGCTCAGCAGACCACACGCAGTAATGACTTTATTGAAAGGTCATTCTGTATCGGGAGAAGGGTTTGCTTTACCATGACCCCAAGTGTCCATCCCACAAAATGTGAGCCTTGAGCTGGAAAACCCTCCTTTCTGTTCTGGCTTTGCCTGGGCTCCAGACTCCCCTGCCGGGTGTCCTTCTGTCTCCTGGACCAGAGAAGTCCCAGGCACAGATTTGGAAGCCACTCACAGACTAGTCAGACCCCAGCTTCAAGGCCTGTTGTTGTGGTTACAGCATCAGGTTCCTCCTTTGGTTCTGACCTTTGTTTCTGTGTCCTCTCTGAGGCCCCAGTGATGCTGAGTCACCCAGACCCCAGACATGTGGCTCGACTAAAGGGAAGCCAGCACCTCAGGAGGCGACCTCAGGTCCAAAGCCTTGTACTCAGGACCAGCTACATAATTTGCAGAGCCCATGGTTCAAATATTATAGAGAATTTGAAGATCATGACAGCAGAGTGTTTAACCAAGTACAAGGTCCTTCTACGTGTGGGATTGCGAGCAATAACAAACAGTTTTTGAGCTCCGTGACATGTTAATTAATTAACAGCAGCCATTCTTCACAAGGAGATATTCCCCATGGAATGGATGCCTCAAATAAAGAAGAGAGCATTTGTCACATACCCTGGAGTCTGCCCCCTCTCCCCGTGTCTCTCACATATCTGGACTCCTTTGTGCCAGGAGGTCACCTGCAGTACTTAGCAGCCATCATCTTGCCACAGAGAAAGGTCAGTCACAGGTGTGAGGTTGCTCTGCATGCTGCTGTCTCGCCCCAAATCCGGGAAGCCACTGCTCTGGTGAATATGAACTTCCTCTAGCTACAGTTGGCAGGTGTCCCATCTTTGGGAAATGATGAGAAACAGAGCAAAATGTTTCCTAAAATGCTGATGAGACTGCCCCTGTGGTCTGGCAACTGGATACCAGGAGAATCATTGTACGTAGAAGGACCTTAACAGGATGCTGGTCGGTAATCAAAGTAGAAACGGATGCTTAAAGGAGTCTTTGGGATGCAAGAGTCAGAAAGGGCACCAGAAAGCCTTTCACTGAGAGGATTTTCCCTAAAACTCAAAACTACAGAAATACGTAAATCTATAAATCCAATGTATTAATGAAAAATTATATCAGAGTAATAAATACACATAAAGTTACAAACTGCTGATCAAAAGCTTAAGAGCAACTTGTGAGACTTGTGTCAATTCCGAGAAATGCATGCTTCCCATACTAAGCTGTTCCTTGTGCATTTATTTTTGATTGGACCTTCTAGGGGAAGAAGTGTGACCCCTTGTGACAGGTGGCTCTGGGGCCCAGGCAGGGAGAGTGACATCTCCGAATGACTCCCTGGAGAGTCCTGTTCCCATTTCATCAGCACAGAGACCCAGAAGACCCCTCCGTCTGCCCTGCTCCTGCCATGAGTGGTGGCCTCCTGTGCTGGGTGGCCTTTTGTCTCCTGCAGGCAGGTGAGTCCTGGGCAGGGATTTTCATGAGCGAAAATTTCGAGGTCCCACTGCTAAGCCTTTCTGTCCTGTCTGCAGCATCAGCTTCATCTCCTTCTCCACAGGTGCAGTGAATGCTGGTGTCATTCAGACCCCAAAATTCCAGGTCCTGAAGACAGGACAGAACACGACACTGAGATGTACCCAGGATATGAACCACGACTCTACGTACTGGTATCGACAAGACCTGGGACATGGGCTGAGGCTGATCCACTACTCAGTTGGTGCTGGTGTCACTGCAAACAGAGATGTTCCCGATGGGTACAGAGTCTCCAGATCAAATACAGAGAACTTCCCCCTCATACTGGTGTCTGCTACGCCCTCCCAGACATCTGTGTATTTCTGTGCCAGCAGTTAGTCCACAGCGCTGCACAGCTGACTCCTCTCTGCACAAAAAGCCGGGGGGAGGCCCTGCAGCCTGGTCTTAGCTGAACCCTTTGCGGACTTCTATCTCAGGGAGAAATGGCACCCTGAGTGGCCTGTGTGTGCAGTGTGAACCCCTGAGTGTGCTGAGGTCCGTCTCCAGGTTGATCTCAGCCAGGCCTGGCCTTGACCGCAGGGCCTCAGGAGGACATGTCTCCACCGTTGCTCTCTGTCTTTCTTCTGCAGCTTCCCCGTTAGCTGGGAAAGTGCTTCCCCAACTCTTATTTTTCTACTCATGGGCCTCAGTCTGACACCTCCAGGTTGGAAAGTCATTGGTAAGTAGATACATCAGGACCCCTTTCACCCTGGGCACCTTGTTGCTTCCTC